CTGCTCATCTGGAGCAGGTAGCCAGACCCTTGGCTTTTCCGGTCATTCTCTTCTGTCACAGTGCAGCTCATCAAGGTCCTTCCTGGAAAGTGGGTCCCAGGCCTGAGGACCCTGGACTGCCCCACTGGGCCTCATTTCAGTACCACGGTTCCAAGAAGGTGGCCAAAGATGGCGCTTTAGTAGCCATCTTTCTGGAATGAATTCCTCCATTGACAAGTGGGAATGACTTTTCGTTTCACCTCTCCCTTGTGGCTGAGACAACATGAGTGTGGTGACTGTCTCCAAAGCCATATTTTAGGAGAGAAGCTGTAGCCAGAGCTCAGCCCACCGTGAGCTGGGAGAACTGGCAAGGGTCTGGGAGGGGCTGCGAGCAGCAGGCACCTTCTGCAGCTGCTGACCCAGCCCCTGGCTTCTGTTGTACTGGGATCCATCTTGAATAGGCGTGGGGGAGGCTTCTTGGCTGTCTCTCAGCGGCAAAGAAGCAGCCCTTCGGGCAGCCCACCCCTTCCCTCTCCTCCCTGAGGATGAATCAGCTGCTGGGAACCGCAGGTGCCTTGGGAACAGGAGGCGCAGGTGACCAGAAAGCCACAGCTGAATGGAGCCACTGTTCTTTCTCTTGGGGCAGCTTCCAAAGCTGAACCATCACATTTTTATCCCAGCGTACTCAGACCCACATTTGCACTTGCCCAAACTGGCCAAATGGTTGTCTCTGAAAGCAGCAATCTTCTCAGACAGAGGGGCAGCCATGTAGGGCACGGAGGTGATAAAAACGTAAATGACTCTACGTCAACAGCTTGGGAAAGAAGTGGGCCCCATTCTCCTTCCAAGGAGGCCTTCCTTGTCCTAAAACAGGATGGGGGCTCTCTTCCCTGGTTGTCCACAGCCTGAATGCCAGGGTGAGCGGGCACCCAGCTCCCTTTCTGCCCAGTCAGCACCCTGGAGAGCTGCACGCACCCCCTTTCTAACCAGGGAGGCCAGGGGCAAAGCCCGGACCTGGTTCCAAGCGTCTGGCATGAACCCATCAACGGGGACTCTGAGCAGCGTCCTCGCTGACGGGCGATGCCTTGATGCCGCAGGCTTGTGGCAGGGTGTGCCAAGCTCCTGGTGGCCCTGGTGAAGGGTCCCTGAATGAGCAGACTAGGAAGGCTGCCCAGGGCCATGACCCCTTTCGCAATGGAGTCCAGTTGTGCCACCCACCGACCAGGAAGCCAAAAGCCCCCTTTCAAAGCTCTGGCCCAGAAGACAGACATCCATTTTCTCCAACAGCAAGAATATTATTTTTGTTTTCACTTAGGTGACCCAGTGAGGCTTAGAGCAACTTMACTGGGAGACATTTGTGGATGAAAAAGGCCCAGGGAGAGGTCAACCCTGCCAACACCAAGTATGAGCTCCAGGTTATTGCCCCACAGATGCTGAGTAGGGGGACTGCAGACCCACTGTGCTCGCAGCCTAGTTTTAGACAGCACTTACTAAGTAACCAGGTGCATGTCAATTAATCACATTGGGGTTATATATTTGATGCTAGTAGGTGTTTGGGGACATAACACGCACACAAAGCTCTGGTATTTTTTGTAAGGTCTGAAGCATGAAATCAAAGTTTAATGAGAAAGTAAGAATGAGTTGAAATTTAATGGAAAATTCTTATCAACTCACCAAATGTCATCATTGTCAGAAGGGAGGTGGAAGGTGGAGGATACCAATGTTTGGAGGCAGACATTCATGAATTCGTGCACCTCAGAACATGAATTAAAAGTTCTATGGAAGCTGGGTGCAGTGGTACACGCCTATATTCCTAGTGGCTTTGGAGGCTGAGGCAGGAGGATCACAAATTCAAAGCCAGCCTCAGCAACTTAGCAAGAGCTTATGTCTAAATAAAAGATTAAAAAATGGGCTGGGGATATGGCTCAGTGATTTAGTGCTCCTTGTTTCAATCCTTGGTACAAAAAAAAAAAAAAAAAGAAAGAAAGAAAAGAAAGAAAGAAAGAAAAAAAAAGTTCTATTGAAGTATTCCAGAACCTCTCCCCCAACCCCCCATAATACATGGATATGCAGAATCTCAAATGAATGGTTGGGAAACCAGCCATTTTTAATTGAATCTTTGGGAGGACAGCTGGAACTCAGGTTCCTTGCAAAGGCCAAGAAAAGGGCTGTGGGGCTGCAGGGGTGGGTTGTCAATCACTCTGGGCACAGCAGTGGTACAGAAAGGAGTTTGGCCTCCCAATCTGCTTATAACCCAAGCCAAACCAGGTTCTAAGTGTCCAGGGATCACGCAGCAACTCACAAACGCATCGCCTACTGTCTCACCTGCGGATGTCTGAGCAGGGGTGTTCATTCCTCCAACCCACTTTCGGGCAGAGCAGGAGGTCCTCTAGAACTAAAAGGTGGCATAAAACCCGAGTTTGAGGTATATCTTACCCGTGATCCCCTCCTTTAAAAATATGCACCAGCACTGCATTTCCAATGAAGCAACACCTCCCTCCCTCTCTGCTCATTCCTGAGCTAGCCACAGAGGTGAGCTGTGATTTCCCAATGGCTGTCCTGAGCCAACTTGCAGGAGGACACAGGAGCAGATCCAGACTTGCCGGCCCCACAGAGATTACACAAATCCTGGCCCAACGTGGACTAACGCAAGCCCGTAGGAGGCACAGAACATTCCATCGCTGATCTTTGGGTCAGACGCATGCAGCATCCCTACAGTCTGGCACAAAGCCCTCTTCCGGAGCCCTCCACTGCAGGCTTGATGCCTGCTACCTATACCAAGAAGACACGCTGCCAACAGCTTCATTTTGGCTCTCTTCATTTTGACTTTGGAGGAAAAGACTGCCCTCAACTCTGGCATCCCATCCCTCCAGGAAATTAAACATCTTCCCTGCGGGATTGTTGAGGACGTATGCATAGAAGAAGCTGAGATAAAACAACTCCCATAAACAGGAACTTTATTAAATTACCTATACATAAAAGCCCATGTAAACGGACCTTTAAATATATCCAAGTTCATCTTAAACAAATTTCTGTAGAAACGTATTTACATTTCTCCCCTGTATAAATCATCTTTCCAAGCTTACTGCTGACAAAAGGCCATCCGGTATCACCTGCTCACACAGATGCGCAGACCTCAAGGCTGAGGAGAACACTTCTTCTTAGGAAGCTCAGCCTGTCCCCTCTGACAGCACCTAAACATTCTGTGGAACTTTCTTCTCGCAGCCCTTGAGTGAGGTCTGTTTTAGGGAGGCTGGGGGTGGTTATTTCTGAGAGCTGATCCTGGGGCAGAGATGGGTCCTGGCTTGTTCATGTGACCAGACCCTTGAAGCTGGAAGGACCCCTAGAAACCATCAGGGAGGCCATGTCCCCACGTATATGGAGACATGCATGACAGATGCTCAGGAAGAAGCAGTGTCTTGCCACAGACACAGCATCAGGACAAAGCAGGGACAGGGACCCTGGGGGTCCTTCTGAAGGGTCCTGATACCCATCAGTTTACACGCTTATGACTTCCTTCATTGTTTCCCACCCACACATGGACCCCGTGTTTGGGATGTTTTGACTCTACCTGGTTAGAATGTGACATCTGAGTCTTTCTGAAACAGTGAGAAGCTGCTCTGGGCTCCCATCCACCTCTCCAGGAGCCCAGGACAATCTGCTCAGGGCTACCTTTACCAGAGGTCTGCGGTTGGAGCCCTAATTCTCCAACCATGACTTTCACCTTTGCAAATCAGTTTCCAGTTAATTTGGGTAAAAGGCAACATTCCCCAGGAGGGACCTGTAACATGAACCACAGGATTCAGCACAGATGCATCCATGTCCCCAAGTCCATCCAGCTGCCAATGCTGCATCTAAAAGGTTTCACCAAGCCACCCAAAGTGAAAGGAAGCAACTTTTAAAAAACAAAAATGTTCCAAGAATTCCCCTAGTTCCCAAATCTCAGAGAGGAGTGAGATAGACATGGGGTAGGAATGGAGCTTTCTTCAAAAGAAAGGAAGCCTGAGTTGTTGTTTTTTTTTTTTTAACTCCCAAGACTTGAAATCAATTTCATTTTTTTCTTTTTCTTTCTTCTTCTTTTTTTTTTTTTTTTTAAATTTGGTCTGCTTAACAAATTAAAAAACTTGATTTGGGTTTCTCAGGACTTAAATACCACCCAGGAAGGAAGAGATGTCAACATTAGAAAGTATTAGAAGGAATCAAGAGGAGGAGCTGGGGAGAGTGGGGGGCTCAGGCTCCAGGTGACCTTAGAAATGACCCGAGGGCTATGAGCAGGCAAAGCGGAAGCGGGGTGGGGGAGCCCCGGGGGACACAGGGTTGGTTCTTCCCGGTAACCAGAGCGAACACAGGTGACAAGCAGGGGAACCAGGATGGGAAGGACCACCCTGGCAGAGCGATGCTCGGCTCTGCACCAGCCAGGATTCTCTCAGGGGCTGCACCTCGGCAGCTCCCCACCACAGTGCCCCCAACACACAAGAGCACCCCATTCCATCACCTAATGGTCCCACACAAACCACCAAGGTCACACAAGAAGGCAGAGGCCAGAAGGCCTTCCAGGAGCCAGAGCCCATCGACAGCCAGGGCCTGCAGGCCAGCTGCCAGTGGGCACTGAGTGGTGCTCCAGGTGGAACCTGAGGGGACGCAGGAAGGGACAAATATTTTCATKTTAAAGATGAATTTTTACCCCCGGGAGGTATTTCACTCTGCAAAGGGAACCAACGAAAACATCATTTTATTTTTATATTAAAAAATAAGTCTTACATATATAAAAACTGGCCAGAAAAAAAATTCACTTGTTACATAAGAACGTCATCTTCTAGGTGGAGTCCATCCGTCAAGGAACCTCTGTCCTGGGGAAGGAGTCAGGAACAGGGTCCGGGTGTGGTCCCGCGCTGTACCTTTAGTGATTGGATCSTGCACAGTGGATGGCTCAACGTGTAACAAAGACATTCAGTGTTGGCCTCTTCCCAGCAGTCAGTCCTCACCCTCTGAGTCCCAGAGGCGACAGAGACAGACACCCGTCACTTGCGCAATGGATTCAGGACCCTCCCCAGTGTGGTCCGACCCGAATCCTTCAGTCTAAGGGAGGCCCTTTCCCCGAGCCCTCTGCCCTTCAGAGGGGCCTCCGCGTCGGCAGCGGGACTCTCGGCAGATTCGGGGCCCCTCTTGGGAGCCCGGGCGCTGCTGGCCCGCCTCAGGCTGCCGCTGTCCTTGGAGGCCGCGTCCTCAGGGCTGCCCTTGACCCTCAGCTGCCGCTGGGAGACCGTCCGAGTGATGCCGGGGCCTTTGGCCACGGCCGGGGGATCCGTCCTCTGGCACCGAGAGGAGGAGGCCACTGTGTTTCGGGCAAAGCTGGGGACAGGGGGTGGGACGCGGGGGACACTGGGGGCGGGCGGGGCCTTGGGCTCTTCCTCGGGGCTCTCGGGGACCTTACTCTCCTCGGGCTTCTGCCTGGGGAGGTTCCTGAGGGGTTTGGCGCTGGGCTTCTTGAGGGAGCCCCTGGGCTGCAGCGGGGGCTCCTTCCCCAGCCGGGTGCTGCTGCCCCGGGACAGTCTCTGCTCCTCGGCCACTGTGGCCCCGGCCCCCGTGGAGGCCCTCCTGGGCGACGTGTCTGAGGTCCCCTTCACGGAGCTGCGGCGCGACAGTGTGTCTGTGCTGCTGGGGGCGTCCCGCCGGGACGGCTGCTCGGGCCGCTTCCAGCCCCCGGGGGCCCTGCTGGCCCTGGAAATGGGCACCACCTTGCGCATGCTCTCGCTCTCCGAGGCCGTCAGGGTGCGCACGGGCTTGGGCGCGGCCCCCGGGCTCCGCCGGGCAGCTCCAGGCTTGGCGGCCCCCAGAGACGCCTCTTTGAGGGAGTTTCTCTTTGGTCCTGCAGCGTCCTTCCCTTTGCTAGGTCTGTCCCTGGGAAGGTCACCCTTGGAGCCCGGCTCGCTCTTCATGGAGAGGGGAGAAGGCGCCTCCCCCGGAGTGCTGGGAGCAGGGTTGGAGGACGCCTGGCTGCCCCCCATGTCCCCAAGTCCGGAGGACACAGAGCCGTCCCCTTCCCTCTCCTCCTCGGGCTCCCCCTGCCCGTGTCTGGAGTCGGCTCCCTCGGAGCAGTCCAGGGTCAGCGAGCAGTCGGTGGGGTCCGAGACACACAACGGCGGCCCGGGGTCCTTGCTCTCGGGGTCACTGCTGCCCACAGACGCCACAGCTGCGCCGCTGGGCTCCTCGGGGGCAGCCCGGTCATCCTCCGGGGCTGGGCGGGGTCCTTCCTGGKGACCTCTGCCCACAGGTGTCAAACTGTCACGGCCAGCACCGAGGGACGGCGGGTTCCCGTCACCCAAAGATGCGAGCTCCACGGGGCTGCAGTCACTCAGGGTCAAAGGGGATGTCTCCTCCGGGACCTTGGGACCCTGGAGGCTGAACTGGGCCAGCCCTGTCACCAGCTCATGCTCCTTAATGCCCAGAGCCAGTGGCGGGAGTRGAGGGGCCCAGGCCGGACCCAAGCCCACGGGCTCGCTGTTCCTCTTCCGGAGGAGGCCGGCCCCTGTGCGTGCGGCTCGGGGGAAAGCAGAGGCGGGCTCCTCGGGCTGCGGGGCTGGAGGCTGGCTCTGCCGAGCGGAGGGCAGCTCGGTGGCTTTCTCTTGGCCCTCTGGGGCCCGAGGTTCTTGTGCCCCACTGGGGCCTCCACCCCGTGGTTCTCCAGGCTCCATCCAGGCTACCAGGGGCCGGGGCTGCCGGGGGCTCCTCCGGGGCAAGCTGTTGAACTTGTTGAGCGCCTCGGGGCTGTCGGTGCCGCTCTCCAGGAAGGTCAGCAGCTCGCGGTCAGCAGAGGTGCCCAGGGAGAGGCGGGAGCGGCGCGTGTTGGGGGGCCGGTAGGAGGGACTGATGGGCCTGGGGTGCAGGAAAGGGCTCAGGTCCTCTGCACCCTTCTTGGTCAGCAGCTCCACGTCGTTCTCACTGCTGCTCCGGGCAAAGCCGAGCTCCCCGCTTGCCCAGGAACGCCTTTTCTGTTCCTGCTCCTTCAGCCGCTGCAGCTGCCTCAGCTCCTGCACCTCCCGGTCCTGGTTGTCCTGAAGGGAGGGAGGAGAAGGCAGCGTGAGACGCGGGGCCTCCTGCAATCGCCAAGCCACCTACCCTAAGACTCAAAGAGAGGGACTTGCGTGGAGGACAGCCCTGGGTCACATCCCACGCTGAGAAAGACTGTGCACTGCTTTGTGCATATGCAGGGGTGCAGGCGGGTTGTGCATATGCAGGGGTGCAGGCAGGTGGACGAGGACCTCCCAAAGAAACGCAGGGATCTGGCCCAGGGACTCGCCACCCTGCTCCAGCCATCTGTCTACAGGTCTCCTTCCTGGGTTCCACTTCCAGCTCTCCAGCCAATACACTGTCCCTTAAGCACAGGCTCCGATTCCACATATGGACGCCACCTCAACTCCAAAGAAAGCCAACTTGTTCCCACAATCAGGGAAGAGGAAGAGGAGTGCATAGGCTTTACAAATCCTTCCACCTTCCACCCGGCTGCAGGCCGCCCAGTCCCTTTCAGAGAAACTGAGTCAGAACCAAACACACCTCATCCGCCTGTGCAGTGCATCTCCAGCGGTCCCTCRGCATCTGCAGGGGACTGATTCCAGATCCCCATGGGGACACCCAAATCCTAGTTGTAGGGTTTGCACATAACCCATGCACATCCTCACATATACTTTAAGTCACCTCTAGACTAATTATAATGCTCAGTGCAACGGGGGCATTACGTAGGCAGTGGTTATGCTACGCTGTTTAGGGAGAAATGACAACAAAAGGGCCTGCACTCGTTTGGCACAGATGTGCCCTTCACAGGAAAATACTTCCAACTTGTGGTTGGTTGAACTTGCAGCGGGAGAACTGTGGAGTGGAGGGCTGGCTGCATCCGTGTCACAAATCATGGATCTCTTTTGGGTTGGGAAAGCCATGTAATCATGTAATTACACGGATCTCATGACCCAATTCTGTTATTGTTAGCAGTTTTTACTTGAAAATCAATTTCCTCCTACAGTGGACTTTCCAAGTTTCTGTGAGGTTCTGGCTGGAGACTCTTGGCTCCTCCTTCAGCTCTGGCCTAAGCCTCCCCCAGGGTCCTTAAGCCTGTCCAGCCTTCTCCAAGATAGTGCATGGTGAGGTGGGGCCAGGTCCTGGCTTTCAGGACAGCTGGGCGACAGCACCACGCAGGTGGCCTCACAGGCCTGTACAACTTGGCTACCGGCTGAGACTCCTTCTGGCTGGATAGAGGAAGGAGCTAAAGTAAAGCTGGGCTTGAGAGAAATGTGACCAGTTCCCCCAGGAAGCTGGCTGGGGACAGGTCTGCATGCAGGGTAGGAGCTCCAGGCTCTGGGTTCCACCCCCAGTACCAACTAAGTTAATCAAAATAAAATACAGGGCAAGAGATGACTCAGAAGTACCTGGCTCTCCATTGCCACCTAATAAGAAGGAATGTGGGATTCTGTTTTAATCAACATTTTGTTAAAAGCCTGACTTGCAACCAGGCATGGTATTGCATGCCTGTAATCCCAGTGGCTTTGGAGGTTGAGGCAGGAGGATGGCAAATTCAAAGCCAGCCTCAGCAACTTATCGAGGCCCTAAACAACTTAGCCAGACCCTGTTTCAAAATAAAAAATAAAAGCGATGGGGACGTGGCTCAGTGGTTAAGCACCCATGGGTTCAATCCCTGRTACCAAAAAAGAAAGTCTGATTTGCACAGTCAAGCTACCCCGAGCATTTCCCGGCTTTCTATTTCACTGGAGATCACTGGAGTGGGTGGTTGAAGGGACCAAGTGTGGCCCTGTGCTCAGGGCAGCAGCAGCTCCTTATGGATCTGGGAGTGACCACAGGCTTCGCTGGCCTTCGTCATGACACCAGGCATCTTCCAATCATCCCACTGCAACAAAAGTGTCCCTGAGAGTGGAAATTCTCTTCTGGGGAGGGGCTGAGTAGGACATTAGGATCTTTGGTAGGAGTGTAAAYGTGTGACCTCCATCATGAAGTTTGCTAACGAGATGCTTTTACTGCGGGTGTTGGTTAGGGGCCAGACACTTGGTGATATGGACCCTGCAGGTCTAGAAAGGCAGAGCCCGGCCCCAGCCAGCCCAGCCYGGGGCCTGTCCATGCTCCCGAAACCATGGAGATGCTGAACTCTCTTTCCACCACGGGCAGAGGACCAGGTCGGCAAGAAGAAAAATAAACATCCAAACCACTCTGGAAAGTGTGCAGTCGTCACCAGCCAGCCGTACCTTAACTGCTTTGTTGAATCTGGTACAGAAATCTCTGAATATCTGGAAGCACTCATCCAGTTTCATGGTTTCTTTGTCTTCACAGAAGAAATCTATAAGTGTGTGAGCCTCGCCCTGCAGCTCCTGTTTCCAGTGCTCCAGCTCTGTCAGCTTTTCCAGCGCAAACTGCAGAAAACAAACAGGAACGCACTGAAATAAACGGGTCAGCCGAAGAGGCGGGGCTCTGTCTGCTGCCCGGGGAAGACCGGCTCCCAGGGCTCGACTTCAGGTCTTGGAGAAGGGAAGGCTTATTGTCAGGCCACCGCTCTCAGAGCCAAAAGGAAAGTAAGTCAACCCAAACAAAGTTGAGCAAGCAAGGTGACCTGCTGCCTGAGAYCTAGGGGCACAGAGCAGACTGAAGCTAGGTGTGCGTGGGGTGCGCCTCCGGCCCCAGCTACCCAGGAGGCGGAGATGAGATCGCCTGACCCCAGAGTCTGAGGTCAGCCTGGGCAAGACAGTGAGTGAGATGCTGAAAAAAAAGAGAAAAAGAAAAAAAGACTGATTTAAGACCTTTACTCTGTAGAATGCCACTAACAAGTTTTCACTTTCAACGTTACTGAATAAATTCCTCAGGTGTACGGGTGGTTGTATTAGAAAAACTCGCAGTGACGTACATGTCTACARTCCTAGCAAATGGGGAGGCTGAGGCGGCAGGATCTCAAGTTCAAGGCTAGCCTAAGCAACTCAGTGAGAMCTGTCTCAAAATTAAAAATAAAAAGGACTGGGGGTGTAGCCCAATKGTAAATCATCCCCGGGTTCAATCCCCAGTACAAAAAGCAAAGCAAAGAGAAACTCATTCTACACCAGTTCTTCCTTCTATGGAAACTGACTCGTGCTAGCCAAAGGTTTAAAGTGAATTTGTACTGACAAGGTGTCCCTTTTGCCCTGTCGAGAGGGAGTCTAAACTTAATTCCAAATAAGATCTGTGGGGTCTGTGTTGCAGGACTGAAGCCCTCGTGCCAAAACTAGGGGTGCCACCTGAGTCAGCTGGGAAGCTCTGCCAATCATCCAGGCTTGCACTCCATGTGTGGTTAATAGGTTTGGGGAGCACCCTGCACTGATGTTTTAGCAACAGTTGCCAGGAGATTCTGGAAGGTCTCAGGGCTAGGAATTAGTGTCCCATACAAACCCCCCTGCTCACTGATTTAGTTTTCCTTGTGTATGCTTCTACAATACCCAGGCTCCAAGGCCTAATTCCAGTGTGGCAGGAATGAAGGAAGCTTGTTTTTCCCAGGGAGGTCCCAAGCCTTTTAGGACAGGATCTGCCACATCAAAGGGTCACGGGGTGCAGCTCAGGGACCTCAGGTTGCGCTGTCATGAGAAGGCAGGGTGGTAAAGGGGAGTACTTGGAATCCCACTGAAGCCTTGTGATCCTTTCTTATTTACTGGGTGTGTATGTAAAGAAGGGATGTAGGAATCATGTTACTCCATGAAATCCCATGTATCATGCTTTGAAGACAGAGTCCCATTTGGGCAACATGTTTTGGAGTGTGGGGGCCACAGGCCTCGAGGAAGGCGGTCGCTGTCTGAGCACGCCTGGTGAGCTACAGACCCAAGAGACATTCCTTTACGGCTTGCCACTTCCCACCCGTTCTAACCACTTTATCTGCTCGAAGGCCCTTTTCTTAAACCAAACACATTCTAGAGGTAGTAGGAAACCAAAACTATTTAGGAAACCAAATACCAGAGAGAACAACCGTCTGAGTCAGTAGCTCAAGGCAGTGTGTCCCTTGTGCTGTGTTTTCCTTCATGGAGAGGAGGGTATTCATGCAGGGATAAATCTCTGCCTGTCATTCTTATGCAGAGGGGTAAAAGGGAGTCCCGCCAAGAACAGCTCAGCTGCAGAAGACAGGCTTCCCAACAGGAATCTACCCAGGGGCTCAGCTCCACAGGCTCATCTGCAGAGCCTGTGGGGATCCACGGACACTGGAAAGGGAAGGCCTCAAAGTGCCCACATCACCCCAGCCCTGGGCAAATGGACCACACAGAATGTAGACCTGAAAAATCACCGTGGCTGAGCTGCACACCATGAGTTCAACATGCTTGGGGCACAGTTCAAAGTTGTGCTGGCAGAGGACAATGACAAAGACATCAGCAGTTGGAGTGTCAACCAACTTTCCATCTCTAACTTGCCTGCTATGGACCAGAGTCCCACACCAGCCTGTCTCACCCAAGGGTCAAAATGCTGATGGGATCTGCAAAAAGAYGCATCCCTGTCACCTTTCCACTCAGAAACCTTGACTGGTCCCTCTGCTTAGCCTCGCAAGAAGCCCAWGGTTCTCAGACTGGTGCTCAGAACCCTACACAGTCCGACCCTGACCTACTTAAGAATTTTCATCTCACTCATCTAAGAAGTTGAGTTTAAGAATGAAAAATCCATGGCTATGTGCATTTTTTATTTAGAGATAAATACGGCTACCAGGCCAGGCGTAGTGGCATACACCTGTAATCCCATAGCCTTGGGAGGCTGAGACAGGAGGATTGTGAGTTCAAAGCCAGCCTTAGCAATGGCAAGGCACTAGCAACTCAGTGAGGCCCTGTCTTTAAATAAAATACAAAAATAGGGCTGGGGATGTGCTCAGTGGTCAAGTGCTCCAAGTTTAAACCAACTAAAAAAAAACGGCTACCAGGACTGGGGATGTAGCTCTGTGGTAAACACTCTACCTGGTGTGTGTGAGGCCCTGGGTTCAATCCCTAGAACTACAAATCAACACCACAAAAACTAAAACTAAAAACCCCCACAACCAGGAAGAAGAGTTTAACTAGTTAAAACAAGGTTGCCAGGAGATGACGAGAAGGAAGAGCCATACTTCCTTCTAGACCTTTCTACATCAGGATTTAGTATTAGACAGAAGCTARGGATACAGTTCAAGAGAAAGCCTTGCCCTAGCATGCTCAAAGTCTTTGGTTTCACTCTCAGCATCACAAAAAATAGAAAAAAATTGGTGTATGATATTAATATTTAAGATAAGAACTTGGGGGAACAACCACACTTTTTATTTTGTTTATTTTTTGTGGTGCTGGGGATCAGACCCAGAGCTTTGTGCATGCCAGGGGAGGGTTRATCTACTAGACCACAACCTCAGCCCAACAACAGCCCACACCAGCACGTCTCACACAAGGGTCAAATCTTTCCTTCCTTCTTCTTTTTTTTTTTTGGGGGGGGGGGCAGATAGCAGAGATTGAACCCAGGGGTGCTTTATCACTTAGCCTTGTCCCCAGCCCTTTTTAATTTTGAGACAGGGTCTCCTAAGTTGCGATCCYCCTGCCTCAGCCTCCTGAATCACTGGGATTACAGGTGTGCACCACCAGGCCTGGCCCAACAACCAGAATCTTGATGGGTGAGGGTCTCATTCTTGGATTCCTAAGCTTATTCTATGCAGCTGACAGCACTTACTACTGCTCTGTCTCTCTGTGGTCCTGCTGCTGGTGGTGGTATTCCTTTTGTTTTTGCACTTTGAGAAAAATGTGAAGTAAGGGAAAATTAGCATTTGGTTATATTTGAAAGCAAATAGAGAGCACAGGTTGAGTGATAAAAAATAAGCTTGTAGGCCAGTGTTCGCCGACAGGAGCTGAAGCTCAGAACACTTTGACAAGACCCAATCAACAAGTGCAGGCCCTGGTGTCCGGCCTTGAAGCGCGCTGCTCCTGTCTGCTGCGGAGGAARCCCAGCCGCAGGGATTCTGCCTTGTGCAACTCACAGCACCAACAACCTTTAAGGCAGCACCCCGGTTCAGAGAATGCAAAAGCGTGAGATGGTGCCACTTTTTTTTTTTTTAATGAGGAAGATAAAAGAAGTATGTCAGACTATGTGATTAGTGAGTCACAATGAGCTGTCACAAACATGTCCACTCGGCTGTTTTCTGTTGATGTTATTCGAACAGCTCCCGACACACCCTATGGGGTTGTTGTATTTGGGTGTTGATAGGCACGGGGACGGGCGCKCGAATATGTATGCTGCTCTCATTAGAAATCATGCCAAAATGCAGCTTGTCTCTTCCATATAAACAAGGGAAGGAAGAAGAGCCTGAGTCCTAAGTGTCTGGTTGAGTTCTGCAGAACTCTGTGCTGTTGTTCAAAAGCTGATTGCTTTCGAACCCAGTCTCGAGATGCCAGGCACATTCCAAACATAAGTGCCCTAAGCTGATGCCCACTCACTACAGTCAGGAGCAAGGGGGTCACACACAATGAGCAGCCATAGCAAAAGCCACTTTTCTAAACTAATACCAAGCTTTAGACCACACCAACATCTTCTGTAAGATACCGGCGTGGAGAGATGCCGAGTTCCTGTACTAACTTGGGGGGAAACATGAACCTGCTGCTTCCACAAGTACACCACACAATCGTCAGCAGCCCTGGGGGGGAGATGAGATCTGAGGGCCTGGGGACTGCCTGCAGTCCTACAAACCTGGAGGAAGTCTTCCATCTGCTGCCGGAGCTCCGCGTCSCGCTGGATGTTTTCCTTCAGCGATCGAGTCCTGACAAAGATCGAGTGCAGTTCTGCCTCCGTGTTATCCAGAGACAATCTAAAGAAGAGAGTGAGAGTGGGCAGCGGGCACGAGGAAGCCCTGGGTCAATGGGAACATCAAACAGGACCCCCAGCCGGCCAGCCCTGGAAGCAGGAGGGGAGAGCCGCCCTGGGTGTAGGTCTGGGAGTCCCCAAGTGTTGTTTCAGGAGGCAAGTCCTTCCCAAGAGCACACCCCGGCTCAGAGGAGGCTGTCACTCTGCGCTTACAGGGGAGACAACCAAAACCATAGGCCTGTGAAGAGGCTCACGAGCTGATGTGAGCACGTTCACGCAACAAACGAGAAAAACTAAAAGCCACCGGGCTCTGGAGACGCTCGCTCTCCCGGGGATGGAAAGCTCTAACCCAAGAGGCCCAGCCACGGATGCTGACAGCCCCAACGTAACGCAGGGTCCCGTGAAGACACTAAGCCCACCTCTCCCCGCTTCACACAGCGAGGCTGCCAGAGCTCTGCTTCACGGAGAACTCAAACACAGCCAACAGCCCTGCAAGAAAGAGGTTACGTGGACTGCAATGCTTCGAATCCCTAGAGCGAATGAAGATTAGTGGAACATGAAACATGAAAGAGGGTCTTGCAACCTGGCAAAGTGAACAGGTGAAATTTATAAATGAGGATGCATTCATGCTTCCGTCGTCGACACTAACTTAACTTTGTGCAATGAAATTTTCCACCTTAATTGGTCCTGGGTGCCCATCTGAGATCCAGTTGTACTTCACCTGTGTATTCACCTTCCTTTTCATATAAACAAATCTCACTGAAAAGGAGTCTTCTACTACCATGTCTAGCTAAACTTCTGATCCAACTCAGACCAGAAATCCCCTTTCAGGAAAGGTGGCGAACACCTGTGATTCCAGTGATTCAGGAGGCTGAGGCAGGAGGATGGCAAGTTTGAGGACAGACTGGGTAACTCTGTGAGACCCTATCTCAAAATAAAAAAAAAAAAAGAACTGGGATATGGTGTAGTGGTGCAGAGTACCCCTGAGTTCAGTCCCCAGTACGTAAAAAAAAAAAAAAAAATAATGATGATAACTCCTTGTATTATCTTCTATAGAAGGTCTCTATAGTCAGAGTAAAAATATTCCCACGGATTTCTTCTAGTAATTAAAAAGCAAGACAGTTTGTGACTTCTAAGCTATCCATTCTTCTTGGAGAATAATCAGGTGATCTGTAAACATGAATTATGAACTGTTTACACCTTTGCACTGATAATCCCCCTTTGGGAAAGACATGTAATCTGTGGTGAGATGTTCACAGAGTCAATAACAGTGAGATACAGGCTGTGAACTATGGTTCACTTGTTTATATGCATATGGCCCGGCTCTGTCACAGCTGGCTCTAGTCACTCAGGTAATAAGCACACAGTATGAACGGGGCTGATACAAGGAGCGGTGCACTGAGCCAGCTCCTGAGAGCCAGTGTGGGTGTCTCTCCGCAGCTCTGCATTCAATGACTCTGTGTCAGCAGCCTGATATCTGCCAGGTCCCAGTATTCATGGCATGGAAACAAGCAAGTGCTACAAGCCAGGGCTTTTTTTTTTTCCCCCGTAGAGAACTAGTTATCAGAAGCATTTACCTTGGAATGACTATGTCCTATATGTTGAAAAACTCAGGACTCAAGATGGTACACACACAGAGATTAAGCCTGCATTAAAGAAAGCATGCTTCCATATTAGGGTTAGAAGCAAATTAGAGTGATGTAATTAGAGCTTTGTTTGGGAGATACTTTCTCTGTAAAGTTGAGTGACTAGTTTAAAATCAAATCCTTTCAGAGTTCTTGGTATGGTTCCAAGCCCTTTTAATGCAATAGAAAATAAATGTACCATGTTAGATTCTACAAGGAAACAGCGATGTATGGCCCTGAAAGTTTGACTGATACAAACCAACTCCCAGGGTAATAAGCTGTGTTGTTTGAACCCTATCTTTTGGGTGTGGAAAGATTTAAAGTTCTTAATCCATATATATTTTTTAAACTGATGACATTTCATTAGAATAGACTAAAAAACTTTTAAAAGATAAAGGTTAATTACTCAAAATCCCCAAATTCCAAGGCACACACACATCTCTGTTAAGCAAATAAAAAGAAGGCCTGCAAGTTTAACAAGGGAAAACTTTTAAAGTTCAAACTTGAATCCCAAAGTTGTAACTGCTCAGTAGTTTCCCCAGAAGGGAGCTAAGCCAAGCAGTTCTCCCAGCTCACTGCCTGCTCCCCACTTACCTAGCAGTCTCCTGAACATGATGCAGCTTTCCAGAAAAGTTTAGAAGGTTGGCATCTTTCTTCTGGGCTTCCTGAAACAAGAACAGATTTTTTTTTTCTTTCCCTCATTGGATGGATAAAACTGGAAGGAAATCATCTTCTGAAGGCTTAAAGGAACTGTGAAATCACTGCTCATTTTCAGCTTGCAATGTTTAAAGCAATTCACTAACATATGAACTCCGATCCTCTTAGTAAGATTTTCCAGAAGTCTCAAGATACATTTAACTTCCCAGAGCAATCGATCGTGACATGAAATGCAATTCATGTGCACGGGGACTCAATGGAAGGAGGTGGCAGCTTAGCAGGGCCCTTTGTTTTTCAGAGAACCCAATACCTCCTGCCTAAATACCACCATACCTACGAGTAGCCTTTCCATGACTGGGATGCCTCGGCTGCTAAACCAGTTTGCAAACTGAGTTTAGTCAGAAGGTACACAGTCCTGGAGGCATGTGGATTCTTCACCTGGGGAGAGGGTGAGCAGAAGGCAGGTGGGAAGGAAGCCATTACTGACCCAGGAGACTTGCCCTTGTGGGCAGCGACCTAAGTTAGTCAGAGCCATTGGATGCATGGATCTGACAGAGCTTGGGTGAAGCACCGTCTGCAATCCGTGCCAGAGAAGGAATAGTTTCTTCTTCTTTTTTAAAATAATATGAGATGAAATGCAGAGAATTTTTTTAATATTTATTTTTTAGTTTTAGGGGGACACAATATCTTTATTTTATTTTTATGTGGTGCTGAGGATGGAACCCAGTGCCCTCATGCACACTAGGCAAGTGCTCTACCACTGAGCCACAACCTCAGCCCCCAGTTTCTTCTCTTAATGCCCTGAACTTCTGAATCCTGTACTCAGGAGTAGGGGAGGCGCTCAGGGATATAGTGCTTGCCTAGCATGCACGATACCCTGGGTTTCCTCCCCAGTGCTGCAAAAACAAAAAAAAATTAGTATTGAGTTAAACATGGCCCTTTGTCCTCAGAAGAACATAGTAGCAGTATTGTATGTTATTTACAGTACTCGTGTTATTTATGGAGTGCTTACTATCTGCCAGATAGTCAGCCAGGCCCTCTATGAACCTAACCTCCTTGGGTCCTCTCAATTACATGTTTTTTTTAAAAATTTATCTTTTAGTTATAGATGGACGTAATACCTTTATTTTATTCTTACATGGTGCTGAGGATCAAACCCAGTGCCTCATGCTTGCTAGGCGAGTGCTCTCTCTCTGAGCCACAACCCTAGCCCTCAATTGCCTGGTTTTGCGGGCACTGTCACTAACCTCATCATAAGACTGAGGGTCTAAAGATTTAAGTAGCTTGTCTAAGGAGGTTTAAGTAGCTTGTCTGAGGCTATTAAAGGACAGTCAGAACCCCCCATCCTATCTGTTCTATCCTGTCCTGGAGCTCACACTGCAAACATGCACAGAGCTTCCTTCCCCAGATTAAAATTGTGTCGGAACAAGGGAATCAATGGAGGAAAACCAAATCATTACAGTTAGTTGAGATCATCTAACCAAAAAGAGAGAACTGACCATGGCTGAGATTCTACAATGCGCTTAGCTATTCTAACATCACAAAGACCCTGTCCAAACAAGAAGCCAGCACCGGGGTGTAGCTCGGTGGTGGCACAGCATGTGCTTAGCATGCAGGAGGTGCTGCGGGTTCCGTACTCAGCCCCCAGAGAAGCCACGGATGGGGTCAGTCCCCATACTCTGCATTGCAGGAGGGCACTCTAACACACAACTCACAGAAGAAAGGAAAAGGCAATCTCTTTAAACACAATTGGTGACAAATCTGGTCTAGTGCACATTGGGAGTGTGTGCATCTTCAGTCCTCTATTATCTATTCCTATGGCCACCATTGTCCCCAAATAACCAATTTCCACAAAGATGTACCCCTATTTCTAGTTCTCTCTCCTCTCCAACCCAGCCTTCACAGTACCTTTTGTCCTGAAAAACAAAAATCTGATCATGCCATTTTGGTGTGCACAAACCTCTGTTGGCTTCCCACTGCCAAAGCATGAAACCCAAATTCCCCATCTCTCACGCCTGACACCTGACACCTGACACCTTCATGAMACGCTTCCCAGCTCCTGGCCTCACCTGTTCCACTTCCCTCCAGCCCTATAATCCTCAGCTGAGGAATCCACACATAAGCAAATAAGCCTCCTGCAAAGAGAACTCCCTTGGACCTCACCATGCCCTTCCCTAACTCAACACCATCTCACTGCCTGGGAAGACCTCCCAGCCTCCAGGGGGGCTTCATACCCGGTCCCTCTCCATATCTGTCATTTCCACATACCTGTGCGACAAAGTGCAGAAGATTCATCCCAGGTTTGTTGGATTTTGTGTCTGCCAATTTGAGCAAAGAAGATAGTTTGAATCCTACCGCATTGCCAGCATACCTTCCCTAAAGAAGGCGAAGCAAGAGAGAGAAACYAATTATGCCTGAAACCAACATGAAAACTGAGAATACAACATTTTAACTTTTTCTGGATCTTACTTACTGCATTCATGATGTTCCCAGCCTGGAGCACCAAGTGTAATATTGAGTGTAGCTCCTCACAGGACATCAGCTCTGTCAAAAAGAACACATCAGAGTGTCTCAGAGGACGCTTCCTCCCCACCAGCACAAGACAGTGGCCAGGTCCAAGTTCAAGTGTGCCTGGAGCAAGTGCTGACCTGCAACTGCATACAAGGACTGAACAAACAAACCAAGTAGCACATTCCACTCCAAACCAAAGGCACACTTGCTACTGGCAACCCATGTCATCCTGTTTGACTAGGGATCAGATATGCACGACAGTTAAACATCACAAAAGGGCTCACTAAGGAAAAACTTCAAGCAGTGGAAAAGACAGAAGCCTAAGGAAAGGCCGTCCTCGGTGTTACAGGAACTAACTTTCTTCTCCTCTGTAGTTAGTTAATTTTCTTTCCTTCATGTCAACTAGTTTTTGAGACTGTGTTTATAGAACATGAAAATAAACAGCAAGCAGCGTTTTGCTTACCAATGAGGTAAGAAGAGATAAAAAAAAATAAACAAGCTGGGATGACATGTAAATGACTTGCAAAGCACCAACCCCTGGGGCCCTGGCTCTCAGGGCACCTTTCCATTTTATTCAAAGCTGTGCATTTAATTTGGACTGGATGAAGATTTTAAGAAGGAAGCTACCTCTGTAATACCCCGGCTAGAGAGCTCCCTATTACCACCAAATCTCTTGTATAGTTAGGGACAGAAACTCAACAACTAAATTTCTAAAATACATTTGAAAAGTTAAAGAGAAAACTTGATCCTCAAAATTATAGTATATACAGTCAGCCAAACGTTACCTATGATATTTTAAAGTTAATATTCTCCTGTACAAGCTACTTTTGGATCACTGCCTATATTTCGTTATCTAGGAAGGCCAGTTTGGGAAGGTCACCCAGATAAGAAGCATTTCTGCCGTGCCCACAAGTTTGCAACGTTTAATATGAAAACATGCTTTTCCATCACTATTTGAACAGAAAGAACAAGTTCCTGCAACAACCTTGGTATAGGGAGAAATTTTAAAAGTCCTCTGAACTGGAGGAAGAATAATAATTCTTTTTTTTTTTTTCATTCTTAGCATCCTCTCTGAAATGAAGAAAATACTGTGGGCTGAAGAAAAACCTTTATCTTAACACAGGAAAGCCAAATAGGAATAGATAGCCCTACATCATCAACTAGTAACTCAGAAAACGAGATGGAGGAAATCAGGCTGGTGCTGAGGACACCAGGAAGCGGACAGCCAGGGAGGGCTGGAGGATGTGCCTGGAGCCGAGCAGGGGACAGCTACAGTGCTGTTGTGGGCAGTGTCCCCAGGGCCACACACACCAGAAATGAAGGCCCCAGTGCCCTGTGAGACATCAGAACAACTCCGAAAGGAGTCTGGACAGGCAATGATTTAGAGTTGTTCAAGAAGTGACAATGACCAACTTGCCCCTTTCAGACTTCAGTGGCCCGCCAGATGCTGGGTCTGGAGAGGGTGTGGGTGGGAAGAGACACCACAGACCAGCAACATCACGAACCAGAGGCCCAGAGAGAAAGTCTGCTTCTGGAATAGCTAGGGACAGACACCCACAGAGACCAGAGCAGGGAGGAGACACAGCTGGGCCAGGGTGCAGGCATGTGTGTGCCCAGAGACGCTGACCAARGAGAGGGACAAGAGCCAGTGGCAATGAGTCAGGCTTATTCTGAAGCCGAAGATGGAACACATGTTCTTTAATGGGAAGATAATAGGCAAATTATTATTCATTAGGAGAAAAAAGGTAAATGGAAATGAACTTTAAATGTATCCCTCGTTAACAGCTCATTTCCCTTTTTAGGGTGTACCAGAAATGGGACTTTCCATTTCTAATTTCAAGTATAGCTTTCTAAAAAATAAACTACCAGCAAAATTAATAAAAACAGGTTGTATGCAGGTTCATGTATTTACTTACCTTTTGTAGCAGTTCTTAAAATTGTTATATCTGTGTACAGGGAAGAACAGGAGGGTAAAAATTCCTTCTTTAGCACCATGGCTTCAATCCGAAGTGAATAGCTGAAAAATATAAAAGGTTGAACTGCTGAATTCGACATCAGTTTAAAAACCTTACTCTGCACAAAACAACCATCAGTGATTTCATCCTTACTTTGGCACCTGAATTAAGCAGTGCAGAAAGGAATCTGCCAGGGAGAGCTTGGACACGTCGCCACTGAAYGTTTTCAGCTTCTTCACCTGAATGACAAATGGAAAGGGAGTCGAGGAAAAAAATCAGTTATAATTAAAAGTCAAGATTATTTTAAATTTCATCTTAGAATACTCCTAAGAAAACAGGATTTCAGTGCTAAATTCAAATTAATAAAAATGTAGACCTTAGGAAAGACAGAAAAGGCAATCATCTTGGTTACCACTTTGTTCTTTCTTTCTTTCATTTATTTTTTATTTTTTTGCATGCCAGGGATCCCAGGTTTTGTGCCTGCTAGGTGAGTCCTGCCCTACTTCTTTGGTTTTTAAAAGAAAAAAAAAAATGAACTCACAGACTTGAAGGACATGAACTAGTGTTGCTCGTACGGATGCAGATAAACAGCGCCAAATGAAACACAGAGCTGAGGCGCCAGAGTCCTCAGGTCGGTTACTACAGGGACGCACTGGGAAGGGGGTCTGTTCTGAGGATGAACATTCCCTGGGAGTAATAATCTGGACGTGAGATCATTGTTTGAAAGAAGAAAGAAATGACTGGAGAGTCATTACAACAYTTTAAATACTAAGTGGGAAAAAATCTTATTATCTTAAGTATTTTGGATAGAATACACTTGGCTGGTTGGGGAAAGTCTAACACAGATTGCTCCACGGGCCATTTCCACTTCACTTCTAATAGCTCATAGGAAGGGACGACTGTGTCTTTTTGTTTTGTGGTCCTGGGGCTGGAAGCCGGAGCCCGGAACAGGCTTGGCAAGGGCTCTGCCACAGAGAATCCAGCCTGGATCCTGGTATCCTGAGGCAAGGGGGTACCAGCTCTCCAGCAGGCAAGTAAAAAGGAAAACTGTTCCGACTGCTAAAAGATCAAGGTGAAGACTCCCCGCTATGATGGCCCTACTCACAACAGCTAGGACACAGAATCAGCTAGGTGCCATGGAGATGGAGGGATAAGAAAATCTGGTGGACATACACCATGGAGAACTATACTGCCTGAAAGAACAAAATCCTGTGCTTTGTAGCAAAATGGGTGGAACTGGAAGACGTGAAGTGAAACAGGCCAGAGAGGATGTCTGCTATCACGTGTGGAGGCTAAAATGGGAACCTGAACACATAACACTGATTAGCAGAGATTGGAAATTGAAACTTGGAAAGGGGGATAAAGGGAGCCTGGATTTGATTAGCTCATGCTGTATACACATATCACACTGAACACCACTGATACGTATAACTAACACATCTTAGTCAAAAATAAAACAAAATATTTAAAAAAGATTTCCCCSTATGAAAAGTCCAGTATGCACCGTGGCATTTCCATTTCAATAAATTTTAAAAAGGGTATCCGTGACCCCCAACGTCCCACGCACACACCCACTACCCACACAGGAAAAAGATGAAAGCCCCTCACACACTAGGCAGCAGCCCCCAGGTGAATGCCACTTTCTTCTGCTGCTCATTTTTATTACCCAAAATATATATGCATTGCTCTTATAAAAAAATCATGCTAAATGAAAATTTTAAACACACAAATATTCCTCCCACCTTAATAAAACAAAGAAGAGGAGTTCTGACATAGGTATATAGCCCCACAGCTAGCAGGAGGAGGTGTAAGCAAAGAGAAAGTTCTCCAAATACATCACAGAGAAAAATCATGCCTTCCCCACACAGAAAACTGATTGAGCCAACGGTAAAACCACTTCTAAGGCCACTGTTAATAGAGCCTGCCAACAAAATTCTTTATGGTAAGTAGTACCTTAGTACTCTTAGTAAAGTATACAGTCTGTCTTTGTAGGTACCTGTTGCCTATAAGTACCTACTGCTTTAAAATTCTTTTTTTGTGTGTGCAGGATTGAACCCAGGACCTTGTGCACACTAACCATACTTTCTTACCAAGGAACTACACCCCCAGCCCTGTTATTCCTTATAAAGCTTACTCTCTTCCATTCCCTGAATTATGATTAATAATATGATTTTAAGTCCTTTCAAAAAATAGAAAAATAGGACATTCAAAAACAAACAAGTATTTTTCAAGCCAGGCACAGTGGTGCATACATATAATCCTAGAGACGCAGGAGGATTGCAAGTTCAAGGCTAGACTTTGTAACTTAGTGAGACCCTGTCTCAAAATTAAAAAAAAAAAAAAAAAAAAAAAAAGGGCTGGGGATATAGCTCAGTGGTTGAGCATCCCTGGGTTCAACCCCCGGTATCAAAAAAAAAAAAAAATATTTTCAAAGATCTACAAACTGAAACATCTACTTTAATCATTTGAAAATATAAAATGTAACAGTGCAAAGTCACATCCTAGTGTCATGTCTGATTCTTAAGACTTCTTTTTTTTTTTTTCCAGTGGTACAGGGGATCCCAAGGCCTCATGAATGCTATGCAAAYGCTTTATCACTGAGCTGCACCCTCCACCTTGATTTATTTTTATTATTTATGTATTTTTGCAGTACTGGGGACTGAACACAGGAGTACTTTACTACTGAGCTACATCCCCAGCTCTTTTTATTTCACCTTGAGAATAGGTCTCCCCAAGTTGCCCAGGCTGGCCTTGGACCTGAGGTCCTCCTGCCTCACGTTCCTAAACTGCTGGGATTACAGGCATGTTCCACCCACTACACCTCGCTTTTTTTTTTTTTTCTCCCAACGAGTAGAAAATACCCATTTGTAAAACTGCATCTGCCTTACCAAYAGAGCTACAAAGTGGATTTACCATTTTTAGCCTTCACGAATGTCAGGGCACAGGCACTTCTGGTTTAGCTAAACCAAATCTGTGGCTGGTTTCTGAACTGAGAAATCCCTAGGATGAATTCTGATCCCTTCTGAAACAGAGTCTAACAAATTGCTATATATGGCCAGGGGCAGAAGGAGGCTGTGCCTTTTGCAAAGATCCTATATGCAKCACGTACGAAGCTTCTGGAAATAATGGCACAGATTTTAGTCTGAAGTGTAAGAACAGGTCATGCTAAGTAAACTTGGTAAATACTTCCATTAAACATGTGCTAAACTGTATCTGAGCAATGAGGAATCCCCATCACTCATGTCAAAGGCTAAAATGTTTATAGATTTCAAGAGAACGGTGACGGAAAGACAGTCTTATTTATGCCAGGTGTACAGTCCCTCCCTCTATTTCAAAAGGAGATTTATGTTCATTAAAGGGATTACTGCACCTTCCCAACGGTAGGGAAGTAAAAGAGAGGTGAACAAACCCTATAATTATTATGCATTCTCGTCATTATCAAAAAGCATTTATTAAACACTGTTAGGCATCATTTTGTTGGCTGGGCCAAGAGACTCTCATTAGGACCCTGGCTGGGCCCAGTTTCTGTCCTATTAGCCAGAGCACGCTCCTTATGTTCTCAAGCTTGAAGTGGCAGCACTCCCCACAAACACACCCACCTGACAGAAGACCCTCCGCTTCCCCCCTGCCATCCCCTCCTAACAGCAGCAGAGTAATAAAGAAAGAGCAAATGAGCACGTCCAGGTGCYGGGGTGTAGCTCAGTGGAAGAGCACGTGCTTGGCAAGAGCAAGGCCCTGGGTTCTATCCCTGGCACTGGGAGGGGGGACCGGGGAGGGGGAGACCAGAGGAGGCAACTCAGCATCTCCCAGAGAACACAGAAAGTTTCCAGCACCTTCCAGCCCTGAACCCYGACACTGAGGTGGTGGATGGGGTAYCAGCCCCTTGGCCGAGGAAGGGCTCGCCAGGCTCGGTGGGGGTGCCCATGCCTCCTCCCACCCCCTCTGGGCAAGGGCACAGGTGGAGCAGAGCCCTCGGGTRCGTGCACTCCTGGACCCACCTTGCTCTGCAAGTGTTAACCACACACTGGAGGAAAGATGAACAGACACGTCAGAGRAAAGATTTGTGAAGGGCAGAGAAATTCCTGACAACAAATTAACCTTGGCTTGGCTGGCTGGCTCCTCCGCTGAGAAGGCAGGAGAGAAAAGGGCTGTTTCCGCTCATAATTTCCAGCCTGCTGATAAGGTTATGGCATTATGCGAATGACACTCACACCAGGGCTCTGTGACAGCAGGTGATGAAGAGGCTGGGAGGCCACAGGGTGCAAGGCACAGCTTTGACAACCTTTGCCCTTCCTTCCTCAGGGAGGTGGTGGAGGGCCGCAGAAAGAACTGCCGCAGGGCCAGAGGGATCAGGGTTAAGTGCACCCCTCCTCTAGGGCCCAGCAGTCGTGAGAGCCCTGGCTTCTCGTTTGTAAAATGAGGAAGGAGTCTGTTAAAATGTCACTGTAAGATTTAAATGAAAAGATATATAAAATAATCACAACTATAATTGATTGACCTCCTGTGTGTGCCAGGCACCGGGCTGAGCTGAGCACTTTAAATACACTGCCACTTCATTTCATTTTGCTATGTCTGAGCCGGGCGTGGTGATACAGCCAGGGGTTGGGAGGCTGAGGCAGGAGGATCAAAGCCAGCCTCAGTAATTTATCGAGGCTCTAAGCAACTTAGTGAGACCCTGTCTCTAAATAAAATATAAAAAAGGGTTGGGGATGTGGCTCAGTGGTTAAGCACCCCTGGATTCAATTCCTGGTACCCCTCTGAAAATAATAATAATAATAATTATTATTATTATTATTTTGCTGTGCCTGTGCCTGGCACACAGGACAGTCACTAAAGGTTCAGTCCTATTAGTGCTGAAAATGAGCCCAGAACGTCACCCTGCAGCCTTACTAAATGTGGTGACATGCACACTTATGCATTTATAAGCATATTTCTGCCACATTCCTAAACCGCCTTTGCTCGGCCTTGCCTCTTCCCTGGCCTCATCCTCATCCTCCAACATCCAGAGGACCAAAGACTTGGCTCTGAGTCTGGGTGGTGCCAGGGCCACAGAGTGTCTGCACCAAGGCAATTTGTCCTTGGTGGGGGCATCAGTCACCGGGTGGCTTCAGCTTTCTCTGACAGCACAGATCCCAGAGTGTTTAGGGAGGGGCGTCCTGGAGACTGTCAGGGTGGGGAGGAAGCTCCCAGCGGAGCRTGGAGGGTGTGGTGAGCCAAGCCAAGAGTCAGTGACATAAACAAGAAGTGGGGCTGAGGGTGGCCCTGCAGCAGGAGGGTGGGGGAGAGCCAGCTGAGGTCTGGTCCCTTGGCTGCAAAGATGGCTGGGGAGCCCCAGCCAGCGTCCTACTTCAGGTGGCTAAGTGTCAGGGCAAGAGGGCCTGGGGGACTCTGGCAGACCTGGGGTGGGTTTTCCTCATCTGGCCCTTAACATCCTTCCTTTCTAATTAGATCCTACATTCAACTAAAAAATGATTTTCTCAAAGTTTTAAAAAGAGTTCTTTAAAAATGCGAGGGGTTTGACAGCTCATCTGCTTCTTTGAAAAACCCCTTTGCATTTTCTAATCACTTTTTGAATTTTAAATGAGAGATGAAGACAAAATCGGGTTCCACCTCCTACCTCTTCGTGGCACGAAGGCGGTACCCTCCCTCACGCCCAACTTAATCATTTAGTTAGACATTTAGCTCGTTTCACAGGCACTGTCAAATTTGATTCTTGCTTAAAAAAAAACAAAACCAAAAACCGATGAGGTCAGTTAGGAGGGGGTATAGAAAGCAGTCCTAAGGAGGAGTCAGGGAAGAAGCCCAAGCAGGAATAATATTTCGAAAGCAAATAAATCTCTTTTTGTTTTTCTTTTTGTTTTTCTTTTTTTTTTTTTTTGCAGTGCTTGGGATCAAATTCAGGGCCTTCTGCATGCTAAGCAAGTGCTCTACCCCTGAGCTGCATCTCTGGCTGGAAAGCAAATAGATCATCTTAAAATTCACATTAATTAAGTTCTATTTTTCATCAAAAATAAAGGAAAATATCATCATGGATTTGGAAGTTTTTATAAAATTATTCTGTTTCTTCCTATCAAGCACCTAACAAAGAATTACTAAAAAAAAAAAAAAAAAAAAGAAAGAAAGAAAGAGAGAGAGAGAGAGAGAGAGAGAGAGA